GAGTGCATCCCCGCCATCCTCACCCTCCTTGCCCCCTCCGGCCCGCTTACCGATGTTGCCCTCCACTGAAAGCCTCTTGCCCGCCTCCCAACACAAGCTCCGCGCCCCCGCCGCCGCCATCATCACCATCATCATCCGCAACGCCGCCAAGGATACAGCCCGGCGCCCGGCACGCCGAGCCTCCTGAGCCGCACTGCGCGTGCGCAGAAAAGTCCTGGAACGAAGCCACTCGTGATCTTCCGGCGCCCCAAGGGCTCACGGCCTTTGGGTCTCTCCGTAGAGTTCCGGCCCTCAAGCGCCGCCCCTGCCGCCGCCATTGGCGGGGTCGGAGGAGCTTTCCCGCCCCGTCCCAAAAGAGAAGCCTCGCGGAAAGCGGAGTACAATGGGGGTTCCTCCTGCCCCCTCCCCGGGGGGGGAAGCGCGGGATTCTGGGAGATGTAGTCCCAGAAAAAAATGCAAAAGGAGGTGATGCCCAGAAAGTAACGGATACCCTCTCTGGCCAGGCTGGGGACGCAGCAGCTGCAATTCGCCGCCTTCGTCTGCTAGGGAGGAGAAGGAGGGGGAGCACCTGGGCTGGCTCGCCTGCTTGCTTTCCTTCTCAGCATGACAGACAAGGGTGCTCCTGAGCATGTCTGAAGGACCAAAGCCTTTAGAAGGGGCAGACCCCCCCCCTCCCTGTTCGCAGGGTTCTCGGGGTGCAGGCGGGCCTGGTTCCTGCAAGCAGCCCATGCATTTGCCATCACTTGGCTGCCCGCTGGTCCTTCACTCGGCTCTTTCCCCCTCCCTGGTCGCTCTGGCGGGACATCCCTCCAAGTTTGCCTTTCCGCTGGATTTGCTGCCTTTGCAAGGGGCCAAGAAGGCGCCCGCCCGCCGAGCCCCCGAAGCCTGCCTCCTTTTGCCGCCTTCCTCTTCTTCGTGCTCAGGTTCTGCCGCCTGGCGCATGAAAAGTGGCACCTCCAGGGGAAGAAGCTTCCAGGACCAGTGGCCCTCCCTCCCTCCCTCCCTCCCTTTGGGCTCAGCTGAAATGGGCCCGATTAAAAAGTGGTAGAGAAGGTTGTCTGGGTCGGCTGCGCCTTCCAACCCACCTCAGGCCCGGCGGTGGGAGACCTGGGGATGCCCTTTCTAAACCTGCAGGACTGCCCTTGCTCCCTCCGAGTGCCCTCTCTCCCCCCCCCCGAACCCTGAGCCAGAACAGCAAACAGGGCTCAGGGCGCCTGAAAGGCTGAGAGGGCCACCCCCCCCCGGGTGTGTGTGTGTGTGTGTTTGTGTATGTGTTTCCACAGCCACTTGTGCCTTCGCGCAGAGGTGGAGCCACCTTTACAAGTCAGTCAAGGCCTTGCCTTGTGCTTTCCCTGCCACAGAGAGGTTTCTTTGACGGGACACCCATTTCCCCACCACCACCACCACCACCAGCAGCCCCCGCTTCCACTTTCTCTGACCACCCCCTTCAGAGAAATCCATTCCTGCCGTGGCACTTCCAGTAAAGTCAGAGAGGAGCTAGGCTGGAGGGTTAAAAACCAAGGCACAAAAGGGCCGCAGACCAGGCTGGCTTGAAAAATGTTTTTAATGCTTATTGAAGGATGAGAAAGAAATGCAGAGAGAGAAGAAGGACGAGGTGCTCCGTGCGGCGCGAGAGGCCAGCCGGGCTCTTTAGAAGCACTTCCGGTGCACAATCGACGGGCCGGCTTCATCGTACTCTGGCTTGCTGATCCACATCTGCTGGAAGGTGGAGAGGGAGGCCAGGATGGAGCCTCCGATCCAGACGGAGTATTTGCGCTCGGGAGGAGCAATGATCTGCCAAAACATTTGCCAAAGAGTCAGCCCTTCTTAGGATTAGCTAGTGGAAAGGCACAGAGAGAGAGACACACACACACACACACCCGTGCCCTTTGCCCACATCCTTCCTGGCCACTCACTCCCAGGGAAGACCCTAATCATCCTAACACTGCCTGCGGGGGGGGGGGGGAATGGTGCTGGCGCCAGGCCATCCTCAGCCAGTCTCTGGCAGAAGGCTTGAGTCAGAGGTGGAGGTGGGCTTTGAAAGGACAGCTTGATCCGTGAACTTCTGCCATAATAATGCCACCGAGCGCAGCTTCCCCCTCCCCCCCCCCAAAGCCCAATAAGACTTGCTTGCCTTCAGGGTGCTACAGAAAGGCTCTTTGTTATAGGAGCTGAAATGCTAACAACTGGCCCTCTGCTCCGTTTGTATGATCTGAGTGGCTGCGTCTGGAAGTTATTAAAATAAAGCACTTCCAGAGTTCATACCAAAGGGGCATGATCCAGGAAATCATAAGCTCGAAAGCTGTTCTGTTGCTGGGTTTTCGGAAAAGGGATCATCCCCTCTACCCATGGACTATCTCCTCCCCTCCCTCTCCACCGCCCACCCACCCCAAGCAGGCTGCGGGTGCCCCCATGTTCTCACAAGGGCCTTCCGCTCCCAACGTTTTCTGTGCCGCCAGGTGGCAGCTGGGCTTCGAGGAGGGCTGCCCGCCCCAGATGGACCAGACTTGCCTTTATTTTCATGGTGCTGGGCGCCAAGGCGGTGATTTCCTTCTGCATCCTGTCCGCAATGCCCGGGTACATGGTGGTTCCCCCAGAAAGGACGTTGTTGGCATAGAGGTCTTTCCGGATGTCGATGTCGCACTTCATGATGGAGTTGTACGTGGTCTCGTGGATGCCGGCGGATTCCATGCCTGCGGGAAATGGCACAAGCTCAGTGGGGGGGGGACCCTTTCAGCGAATCCTCCCCAATTCAGATCCCTGCATCTACCGGAGGGGGGGGGGGGGGACCCTTTCAGCGAATCCTCACCAGTTCAGATCCCTGCATCTACCAGTCCACAGTCTTCCCTCCTTGACAAGATTCTTTTGCAAAGAGGAAAAACAAATCAAATCTGGAAAGCCACGGGGAGAGGCTGCAGAAGGGCTTCCACATGGAGGATTTCCCAGGTCTGGACCCCACCCAGGAGATCCAATCCATGAGGGAGGGGAAAGGAGGCCCTGACCATAGCCTTGGCCAGATCCAGCCTTCCTGAGAGCCCCTTGCCGGTTCTACCTCTCCTGGGCAGGGGGGGGGGCTTCCCCTGTTTGTTCGACAGCAAGCAGGAAAGCCCAGCGAGGATGGACCAAAGCAGTTGCCCTTGGCCTTCGGGGCTTGTGACGGGTTTTTTTAAAGCTAGCTGAAGAGCTAGCCCCATTTCAGGATTTAATTTAAAATTTGCCTTGATCCTCTCTCCTCTCCTCGTGTGGAACCATCTCACACAAGGGTGGTCGCTGCCTCCCTTCCATGAATTCCCAGGTTGGATTCATGAGCATCAGGTTGTGTCAGGGTTGAATCATGAGCCTCCAAAAGGAAAACGTTCCCTCGGGACGGGACAGGACAGCTCCTTGAGGGACCCTCCAGGCTCCCGGACCCCCTCCCCCCGGCACCCAGCCCTCCCCGCAGGAGCCAAGGACTCACCGATGAAGGAGGGCTGGAAGAGGGTCTCCGGGCAGCGGAAGCGCTCGTTGCCGATGGTGATGACCTGGCCGTCGGGCAGCTCGTAGCTCTTTTCCAGGGAGGAGGAAGAGGCGGCCGTGGCCATCTCGTTCTCAAAGTCCAGAGCCACGTAGCACAGCTTCTCCTTGATGTCCCGCACAATTTCTCGCTCCGCTGTGGGCGACAGAGGCGGGGGTCACCGCAGGCAGCCTCCCGGGTGGGTGGGAGAGAAGGTGGCAGAAGTGGCAGGTGTGTGTGGGGGGGGAGAGAATCAAGAGTCTGTAGGTAGGAAGAGGGGGGGAGGGAGGGAAGGAGACCCCTGGGCCAGGAAGCTCTCTTGAAACTAGCATGGGGGGGGGCTATCGTTTCAACAAGGCATGCATGGAAGGACCTCTCGTGTCCCTTGTTAATTTGGGAGGAAGCCTCAGCCCCTTCCCTGACACTATGGGACAAGTAAAAGGGGCTGCTCTTCCCCAGCGGCCTGAGGGTCCCAGTCCTTCCTTACCGGTAGTGACAAAGGAGTAGCCCCTCTCTGTCAGAATCTTCATGAGGTAGTCCGTGAGGTCACGGCCGGCCAGGTCAAGGCGCATGATGGCGTGGGGCAGGGCGTAACCTTCGTAGATGGGCACGTTGTGAGTGACGCCGTCCCCGGAGTCCAGAACAATACCTAGGGAGACAAGAGGGACATATTCTGTTGGGTGAGGAGGGGTTCGATCCAAGAGAGCTGCCCTCCCCCTATCCTGTCCTCGGAAAAACTGCCACCCACTGCCGACAGCAGCGTCTCCCGCAAAACACGGCGTTCTGTGCCAGCTGAAAGCCGACAGTCACAGGCACTTCTGCAAGACTCTGGATGAGCGATAACTCTGGTTTCATCCTGTTGTAACTGTCCAAGAGCTTCTGCTCAAGAGTCCCAGGAAGCGTCGTGCAGTGGAAAAGGGAAGACCATGTCTCACCACGTTGAGACGAGACACGTGCAAAGCACGGAGAGCAGATTCTGCAGCCCCCTTGAGGATGGGCCAAGAAAGCTGGCCAAGAGGGGAACAAGCGCTTGCTGCATGGGGTGTGTGTGTCTGTGTGTCTGTCTGTCTGTCTGTCTGTCTGTCTGTCTGTCTGTCTGTCTGTCTGTCTTTTTATACAATGGGCAGAACACATAGACAGGCTCTTGAGTGACAACTAGCTTTCCCTTCTTCCTAAGATTAGTGAGCCGAAGGGAAGGAGCAGGCGATATTCCTGCAGGAGGTGTGCAGCACAGAGGCGCCCCATGAGCCAGGTGGCACAGCTGCTTTCCGAACGGTCTCCCCAGAGAGAATGGCTACCATTTGGCACCTCTGGTGGGCCAGGGGTGGCCTTTCTTCCTAAAGAGCAAGGGCGGTCAAGCACTCACCGGTGGTACGGCCGGAGGCATAGAGGGATAACACCGCTTGGATGGCAACGTACATGGCAGGGACGTTGAAGGTTTCAAACATGATCTAGGAGGGGGAAAGAGAGAGAGGCGCAGGGTGTAAAATGCTGCAGCCTTCTCTAAAACGATTTTCCTGAAGCTGGACAAGCAACCTTTTTTTCCCACAAGACAGAAAGCCCACAAGACACCACTCAAAACAGCAAAAGTGTGTCACTAATATGTTGCCCCCACTTAAAGCACCCTCTGACTAGTTTACATTTTAATTATGCACAAGCCACACATTGCTGCCCCTCATCCATGTGGGTGCTCAATTGCACAAAACTCAAGCCAGCTACCTGAACCTGTAGGGATCAAACTCAGGTTGTGAGCAGAGTCTTCACTGGAGTACTGCAGTTTAATCACGGTGTCCCAAGGCTTTTCCGACACAGGGCACAGCACTCAGGGACTTATTCCCACTTCAGCCTCATCAAAGTGAAAAACTGCCACACAATAACACGGTACTGCCCTGGCCTTGAGTGAAGAAACATCCCAGCAGGCAGCTCCCTCTGAGTGGTATATACAGTACATCTTTTTTGTCTTGGATGCCCCCTGAAACTCCTCAATTGAAGCCAGGGCTGCCTGTACATGTCCACGGGTACAGCCTTCCTCCCACCCCGGCCGACTCTCCAGGCTGGCGCCCCAAAGCATCCAGCACTTTTTTGCAGTGGGCAGCCAAGGTCCCCTCAGCCATGCTCTCCCAGGTCTTGCTGAACACCAAGGTGTGCCTCCCTGATGGCCTTGGTGGTTTCCCCGATGCCTCCAAGTGCACAGGGGTCCACGCTGGTCCCCAGGCGTCAAAACTGAGGGGCAGCCTCTTTGCTAGGGCAGCAGGTAGGAGCGACTCCTCCTTCTCTCAGCAGCAGCAGCAGCAGCAGCAGAATCTGGACGGGCCGGCTTACCTGCGTCATCTTCTCCCGGTTCGCCTTGGGGTTCAGGGGGGCCTCTGTCAGAAGGGTGGGGTGTTCCTCGGGAGCCACTCGCAACTCGTTGTAGAAAGAATGGTGCCATATCTGGAAGGAAGAAGCCCAAGAGGGTTGGCAGTGAGGCTCCCGGGTTTTGCCTGAACCCCCCTTCCTTCTCAGCTCAGGTGAGCGGCAGAACTAAAATGCTCTGTGCTCCAGAGTCTCCCCCGTTCCACCGATACAGTATTTGGGGTTAGTGTTTTCAGACAAGCACCCAAGACCCCACTGCAGCCTCCCACTGAGACAGAATCCCCTCTCACCGCACCTTCTCCATATCATCCCAGTTGGTGATGATGCCGTGCTCTATGGGGTACTTGAGGGTCAGGATGCCTCTCTTGCTCTGGGCTTCATCCCCGACGTAGCTGTCCTTCTGGCCCATCCCCACCATCACGCCCTGGAGAACGGAGGAGGAGGAGGAGGATATAAGCAACAACCACAACAACAGCAGCAACCTCCAGGAGGAGGAGAAGGAGAAGGAGGAGGAGGGTATAAGCAACAACCACAACAGCAGCAGCAACCTCCGGCTGCAGGAAAGCCAGCAAAGGGTCTTGGGACAATTGAGCAAATTTGGAAGAAAGGCAAGACCGAAATGTAAAAATGAATCATTTATAGGAAACATCCCTCCCTTTCCTTCCACGGCCACTTTAGGACCTGGCCTGTTCCTCATTGCCTTGAAATCTATGAGCGCAGGAAGGGGACAATGTTTCTAAATTAATTTATTTAAGTGCCTTTCCAGACCCTTTTAAAAAATATTCAGACCGGCATACCTCAGAAGCAGAAAGGTGTGTGGGCAATGCACACCTCCAGAGGAGAACCACACACACACACACACACACACAGAGAGAGAGAGAGAGAGAGAGAGAGAGAGAGAGAGAAAGACTTCCAATCTCACCCACGGCTATGAAGTCACCAAGAAACTGAGCCGGGACGTCATTCGGTGACCAAGCGAAATGCCTGCCTTTATNGCCCTGCGAGCCAAGCTGCCCCCCCACCTCCCCGCACACACTCCCCCCCCACATATCCTGGATGAGCAAAGAGACCAGCTGAGCCCGTCGGCCGTCATCACCTTGAACCCAGCAACACATCTCCAGCATCCTTCCCACAGACAGTCACAACACGCATTCATGCCAACACATCACACCCATGGGAACTGGGAGATGTGGCCGGTCCAGCCGCAAGCTGGAAGCCAGACCGGAGAGGGGGGGGGTAATGCAGTCAGCCTGTCATTGGAAGCAGAGCTCCCCGAAGAAGAGGTAGGGAGGTACGGGACATCCCTGTAGCTCAAGGAAACTTCCCTTGCCCCCCCCCGCCTTGCAGGTGAGCTGGCTTTCCTGGGGGGAGGGGGTCATCAGGAAGCCGAGCCCAGGCTCCCTCTGCATCTCTGATGGGCTCGGAGCCAGAGCTGTGGGGGAAAACTCCGGAAGGAAAGTGTAAGGGCAGGACGTGTGTGTCGGGGCCCCCACCCTGGGCTTTGATCCTCAGCCAGTTCCTCCTGCTCAGATCCACAGAGGGGGGGGAATGTTCCCAGAAGGCTTAAGTGCACACACGCTCTCTTGTGTCACCAAGAGATTTTCCAATATGTACCAAACCCACTTCTCCTGACTGTCTAAATTCTGCAGCGGATCTTTTCCCCAAATGACTTCTGCAAAGTGGCCGACTGGCGAGTCCCTTTGCTCCTGCCGGGCTGGCCCCAATCCCCGGAAGGAAGCAAGGAGGGCCTTTCAAACCTATCCCTGTTCTCAGTGGGGATGAAACTGACTCCACATTGGCCAATTTCAGGGCTCATTTTCTTTAGTCGGTGGAAACTGGCATTCTTTTTTTCTTGCAGTGTCTTGTGTAAGAAATAATGTATTTCTTTCTGTTATCCAGCTTGAACAGGACAAACCGGTGTAACTCTTGTTTCAAAACAGTGAGCTTTGGAACATTTTATTTCCATGTAACCATTTTCTGCTTGCTTCTCCTTTCCTGCGTTTACTGGTAACGAATTGTAACCCTTTCTTTAAAAAAAAAAACCCAAATGTCTGGTTTTCTATCTCATGTTTCTTTGGGCTGGTTGTTTTGGCAAGCTCCTGCCTAAAATCATAATATCCTTTTAAACATCAACACCGGCGTTTCCTGAATACAGCCCGCTTGCCACAGTTCTGCGCCTCTGCCTCCAGCCGGGAGAGCCTCTCCAGACTCGCCTGCCCACCTCGGGGCCTTGACCAAGCCGTCTGCCATCTGAGCTTCCGGTGCCCTTCCTTTGCGTTGGATCGGGATGCCTGCCCTGCATTTGTCTACACCCCTCCCCGCCCAACAAGCACCCCGGAGGGACCTGCGATACAAACCTGGTGGCGTGGGCGACCCACGATGGAGGGGAACACAGCCCGGGGAGCGTCATCACCAGCAAACCCGGCCTTACAGAGCCCAGAGCCGTTGTCGCACACGAGAGCGGTGGTCTCCTCTTCACACATGCTGAGACAGGAGGTTGTGCCAGGAGGCGAGGGATCTGGAAGACGGGAGGCCAGAAAGGGCAGGGCCGTTCAGCCATCAGGACAGAGAAGGGAAGGCTCCCCCCCCCCGCTGCATCGCCACACACCCTTAACCCTCCAAACCCTCCCCTATGTGCGAGGGGGGGGAAGGAGCCTG